TCCGTTTTTATATCAAAAAGCCGGGGTCGAAACTAATTTCGAAGTTTGGCAACACAATTGGTCGACCACTGAAAATTCAATTGTTTATCTACAATTGTTCTATCATTTATTTTAGTCGAGTAGTCTGGAAACCGGGGGAACAAATAGCATTCCTTCTTACTAGACCGATTAAGAGAGATGCATTACTTCCAAATGCCCCATAAAACTATTGCCAGATTTCGTAATCACTCTTTATATTTAGTAGATCGTTTTTCTTTCAGAAAAATCTAATTTATTAACGTTCCAGCGATAATTTTATTTCTTTGACACAGAGAAAACTACAACACGATGAGAAATTATGTATAAATTAAAAAATAGCAATTATTATTTATAATTTTATGTGGAAATTTATTTGTCCTACTTGGTAATGCCTAGAGCAATTTTTAAAGCAATGCCATAAAATGTTTTAATGGTTTATTTGAAATCAGTTACATTTGGCAGCTATTTATACAAAAAAAGAGAAACTCGTGACACATGACAGGTGAGTTGTGACGTACAGTAAATGATTAATGACATTTAAGATGTCATGCTTGACATATGACAGAATATCATTTAAGTAAAACTATATTTACATAAGAAAGAGATAATACGTGGAAGGCAAGAAAAGAGATAAATTAATTAAAAACATGTTATGAATAGATCATCGACTGTAAGGAATAAAAAAATTGGTTACAGAAATGAGAAATCAAAGACACATATAACAAACAAATATTTGATAAAATTGTAACTATAAAGAAGGATTTACGTTAATTTTTCTTTCGTAAAACGAATTGGCACGCTTGTGATCACACATGCGATATTTATGTCCAAACACCGAAATATGGTAGTGAACAGGCGTCGCGTTCTCGGATCTTGAGTCTTTTTTTATTTGTCAAAAATTCACTTGAGTCTGGTATGGTTTTTGTCTAAATATTTCTGCAAATGAATACGAGTCGGGACGGACGTGCATGGTTTTAACAAAATTTAATAAAAACTTGCAAGAATTTGGGGAAGCGGACCGTCCACAATTAAATTTTTCAGTTCTGATTAGAGGTGCGGAGTGTCGTTACTTTTGGTAACGGTATTTATATCTTAAACTGTGACTAAATATATTTCGAGTTCATATTATTGATAAAAATAAACTATTAATTATCACGAATATTAAACATGATTATTACTTTCTACCATCACAGATTATGTAGCTCATAAGGCACATTTATGTTTGATGATTATTTTCTTACATTTTTGATCTTTTGCTGATGATAATATTAATTTTTGATCTATTTTTACATTAAAAGTTGCCTATAGGATACAATTCATTTGATTTTTGTTGAAAAAAACATAGTTTGACATAATTCTACATTTAAACGGCATTTTCCACAAGGAAAACAATTCCTGTAGCTGGCTATATACCACGTATCACAAAAAAGAGGTTAGTCTTCGTAAGTGGGTATATTTATTTAAAAAACCCTTAAAAGGGCTACATCAGAAAAAACAAACGTTTTCGGACTAAACAGTCCATCATCAGGTTTAAATTTTTAAAATTGCCTAAAATAAGTTATAAACCATTTAGTTAAAACAAACGTGGTTATGAAATTTTGACTGTGGTTAAAAAGCAAAAATGGCTATACTTACTAGGTTAAAATGCCTGAGCACCAAAAATACATGGGTAAAAACCCTTTAAATTACATATAGTTGTAAACGATTATACATCTTGTTGTTTAAAAAACTGTGATGTTCAGTATTAAATTGAAACTGTAATCAATCAGTATTTTTTTAACGGCATTTATTTGAAAGCATACTTAAAATTTTTTTAAAAAAAACTTTCCAATGAAGAAACTGATATATGTTTAATAAAATATTAAGCTAAAAATCTAAATGGATTACAATTTTTCAAACTGGACGTTTTCGGTCTTACCAGATCATCTTCAGCGAACTTTGAAGTACTTGCTGAAGAACCTCATCACCAAGCAATGGATGTGATGTAAATTAAATATTAGATGCTTAAAATTATAAATTGGAACCAATATACAATTGGAACCAGTTATTGTCGATGATTAAAGAATTAACTTTCCAAAAACGCTACATATGTCCCTACTAGTGGGGAAAAAAAAGAAAATTCACTCATTCCAGATACCTATGATATCAAAAGGATTGACCTCTGGTGGTACTCTTTTCGTGTTATCGAGATTTGGTGACATGGTGTGCTGAAGTATCTCCCAAAACATTTTCGTACGCATCTGGAGAAGATGCGTACGCAGCTGCAGAGAGAATAATAAGTACTATCTGGGCTCTTTCCATTTTCTATTGTCTCTTTATTTGTATTTTCAGATCTCTGTACTTGGCGATCTTTTCGATGTATTCAACACACAGATTATTGTTGTTACGTATCGCCATAATCAGTGTATGTTAATGTGTTAGTCATTTAGTTAGTTAATGTATGAACTGAGATCTGATATATTATGTGCCACTGGTTAGTCTGTGTACAACGTGTTGATAATAATGTGAAATGGTTCGTTTAGAGAAGTCCCAGTTTGTCAGCTATGGCTTAATAAAGGATTTGTTATAATACAAAACCACTAAGGTTGCGTTTACTGGGTATACCTATCGACAGAGATAGTTTTAACAAGCAAGTTTTATGAACTACACAGTAATAAAGATTGATAACAAACTTAGATGAGTTGCTGTGTGCTCAAAATAAATTTAAACTGTATTAATAGGTAAATCAGCAGTTACAAACATCGAACTGATTGATTATTTAAACTATTTTAATTGTGATAGCGGGTAGGCACTTTTCTACGAGTGTCGAGGAAGCGTCCCTGCCCACGCGAGCCATGCTTTGCTCTCACTTCCTTACTGAGAGAAATCATGTCCCATTCCTTTATCCTTCCAAAATCTAGTCTCCTACTTACTATCCCTCCCTGACGAAGGGCAGCAGCGATCATTAGTACCAGTTCAAGGTGTAGGGGAAATGATCCGGGACAGGCTTGAAACTGGATTACCACAAGCATGACTGGAGCAGTTTAAATGGTTGTGGTTCTGCGATGGGGAAGGCAACGGGAAAACCACCCCATTATATTTTCCACAAATCTAAATGGCCGACGAGAAAAAGTCAGTGTAATCCAAAAAAAGAAATACTATCAAGAATCTAACAAGTCAGGAAAACATTCATGAGCATGAAAACATGTTTACAAGTATGACTGTGAAAGATGGAGAATGGACTCTGAAATAGAAAAAAGAATACTTAGATGCCTTTACGATGTATATATATACAGACGAATGTTGAGAATTCCATGGGTACAAAGAGTTACTAATGTTGAGGTACTTCGTCGAATGTGTACACAACAAGAATTACTAAGAATAATCAAAGAAAGGAAAATTCAATACTTGGGTCATGTGTTGAGAGGCAAAAAATATGAATTACTTTAAGTTCAAAGTTAGCGGCCAAAGATCCACATAGTCATGCATTCCTCATAAGATTTATATGAGACATACTTAATTACGTAAAATTCTTAAATAAGAATTGTAAATGAATTATATCGATACCGATTCATTCCGACCTCTATTAATGTCCGTTCTAAGAAGCACAGCGGATAAATGTTGAATATTTGGGAAATATTTAAGTTTTTTGGGTATTTATTAACGTTTGGAGGTCGGCGCATCGTTTTAAGCTTTTTTCTGTCATTTTGTTGACTGGCATATGTGAAATTTAGAAGTCGGCGAGATATTATAACCGGGCAATTCCTGTAAAAGGCTTGTTTTTGTCGGCGGAAGTTTTTAGCTAAAATGCGAACGTTAAATACCGCGACAAAACAATTTTTCGGCTTATTCAAAATTTTATATGTAGCTGATATACGAATAAAGAGGAGCTTGATCGTTTATGTTATTTTGTTTTGGGGAAATTTTTAAACATATAAACATAGGACAACGGAGAAGAGCACAATATTTGAATGTATTAGAATTGTTAAAAACTTGTATATTTTTTGTAAGTTTTTGAGACCTTTGAAAAGCTTTGAACAATCCTTTTTTGTCAGAAAGTAAAATGTAAAATCATTTAGTAGTTCTTCAATCTTCTCCAATGGTTTGTTGGATGTTTTTGAACATAAGTTGTAATTTTGACCCAACTTGGCAACAGTGTATGTCAAATATTGTGAGTTTTAAAGAGGCATTTTGTCCTAATTTGTATTACTTTTACAATACGCTCAAAATATTCAAAAACGCTGTGGATTTGTAGATTGTTTTTTAACCAAACAACATGCAACGAGTTATATGACTATATTACAATTATTATTATACAGTATTGCCATTATACAATAGTGTAGTATTTCCGGTGAAATATGCAAGTATATGCCGTGTATAATTATTAAATTCTTCTTCTTCAAGTTTCATGTTTACCTAGAACGTTGACAACCAACTGCATCATCTTCATTTTCGGAATAGTGATCTGATGCTAAATCCGTACCATTCACACATATTCTTAAGTAATTATCGTTGTTCTATGTCCTTCTCGTTTGCATTTAATTTTGTCTTCGATTATCAATTGCAGCAAGTTACATTTGAGATTTCTCACAATTGAGGCAAAGAGCGTGATCATTATGTGTTTACACTTTTAATACAATTACAAAAATTCCTATTGATCATAATATAATCAATCTGGTTTCTTAAATTTTTGCGAACATGAGAAATCCACGTGTGCCGTGTGAATCCACGTGTGTTTACCTACGTGCCCGTAGGTAAAAAAGGTATTTATTGCAAAATATTCTCCTTGACAAGATTGTACTATTGGCCACACCTAAACCACGTGCTTTTATCACATCTAACTTCAACATTAAAATCTCGCATTAATATTATTATTTCTGATGGCTTTTTGCAAGCTTTTCACTTAAAATTTCTTTGAAAAACATAATTTTTAAAAAACGTATTTAAATATTAAATTATTATTAAATATTAAATAATTAAAAACGTAAAAATATTTGTCTTACCTGGAGTCAGGCCGAATGAATTTGGTGATATGATGCCAGATGTGACAGTGGCCATAGTCGACAACATATAGAACCGGTCATTCCTGAAAAGATATATATTATTAATAATAAAATATTTATTGGGGATATTTAATTGATTTTCTTTTTTTGTCCCAGGTTCATGTGAAAATAGTTTGCAGAGAACATCATTTTTGGATAATCTCTGTTTGATTTACTCTTAAATTTGTCAGGCATTTTCTAGATACGTTTTAGTAAGGTTGGCAAAAAAATGGCGCAGTTGGAGCGGATAAACAAACAACAATCAAATAAGACGACTATTATTATTTGATTCCACGAATACTAAAAAACTAAAGATGAATACAAATAACGTAAGGTTGTGCGTAAAAGTATCTCCGTGTCCACATTACGACCTGAAACATCTTGTGAATATATTATAGCAATGTTTGGAAGTTTCCGACATGTTTTTAATTTGCTCTTTTGGTCGGACACTTAGTTCAACAGGTGCTTAAATCTTTGTAGCGTTCATGCTCGCTTGCTCGATTTTTTCGAACAATACATAGCAGTCTCGTTTTTTAGTCCTTTCTTGTCATACGGGATAGTAACACTCGACATGTTAAAAGAACGTTAAAATACCTGGATGCGGCTTGGTGTCTAGAGTTAAAGTTGTCCATAGTCCATTCAGCCCGGTTCACCTCAAAAAAGAAGCGGTCATGATCGAACATGAAGAACTACCACGATCATCGTCATGATCAATTTCAGCGTTCTCTACTGATTATGGAAAAGCCTCCTTTCCATAGGAGTCGTTCCTCATTTCTGAACACGATTGTCTAATATTCGCTTCTCTGTGCCTTGTTGTTGCTTGTTTCTTTATGTCGTAGTCCCATCTTAAGTTTGGACGTTGCCTTGGATACCACAGTATAATTCTAGTGGATCATCTACTGTCAGTTCTTATTCCTAAATGTCCCGCTCACTGCCATTTTAAAGATTTGATTTTGTGGATTACATCAGTGACCTGTGTTTTTTGTCTGATCCATTGTATTCTTTTGCGAAGGTATCCATTGAGAAGGTAAAGAAAAATACTACGAGGTAAACTTCTTTTTTCATTCATTTTTTTTGGAATACTGAACACTTTCTGATTTTATTCTTCATAAAATTTAATAGATTAAGCATTCTACAACCTGAAAATGTTTATTAAAAAAAATTGCCCAAATTTTTTCTTTATCAAACCCGCCAATGGGGCCTGTTAAACATTAAAATAATCCCATATAACTTTATTTGAACAGTTTAACTAGAAGGCTGCACCCGAACGTTTTAAATACTATAATCTGCCAATCTGAAATGAGCTCTTTTCTAGCCATTTCAGACACGAGATGATGTCGGACGTTAATATTAGCATTTAAATCGATTCCAGCTACCGCATTTTCTGTATCTTGACACATACGTTACTTCTCAAATACGATAAATCACCCACAGAACCATCTTTTCTTCTTTTTCGTTTAAATAGTCTAAGTAAATGAATTTTCTTGCCAAGAAGTAATGTGTGCATGTTGAAACGCTTGTTGAACTAACTAACGTATTTTCATTAAATACGGTTCGTATCGGCATCGTAAATATTCAGGTAAGGTGCTACGGTTGTCGGTTGTCGTAGCAAATCATCAAAAGTATCTTTAATTTTTCTATAATTTTTCTTATATATACTCTTGTAAAATATGAATATAGGTAGAGACCGACCGAATGTGATTTTTTTGGCCGAAGCCGAAGCCGATGCCGAAGTTCGGCCTGAAGGATACCTTCGGCTGAAGCCGAAGTCGAAGCCGAAGGTGACTAAAAATATACCTATTACCTATTATATGTTAATAATTTAAATAATGTGCATTATATTTTTATTAACTGATAAGTGATAAACAAAAATATAAAATTATGGATAAAAAAGTCAAATATTTATACATTATTTGGTAATAGAAGCGATAATAAAAATAAATAACATTAAAAAACATTAAAGCAAGTGAGTATTTATGATAACTGGATCTGGTAGTTAATATTCGAAACCAAAGATCCTAATATTATACGTAAGAAAAAGAAGCTTGTCAGCGTTTTCTCCCAACAAATTAGTTCTTCTGTCAGCGTATAGTTGCCCAGCAGAGCTGAATAACTGCTCACTAGGTACACTCGTTGGTGGTGCCGATAGAAATTTTTTGGCTGCAGTTTTTAAAGAAATATAGGGACTTGATTCCTAATAATGAAATATGTCGGCACTTTTTAAAAGCAAAGCCTCTCGTAAATACGAATCTAGGTAATCTGCATTGGGATCGTTGTCGTTATGAATTTCTTTTGTTGTATCTACAACAGCTGTGACACAAAAGTATCATGTGAATTCCAAAGACTATTGTTTTCTAGATCTTCTACATATGTAGTTGTAGATGATGATGTTAAAGCGATAGCCATAGGAACTTTATTTGTATAACTAAACTTAGAGCTATCAGATTCACGTAGAAATTTTAAAATTCTTGCTTTACATGTAATTACTTCCTCGTCTGTCAAATATTTTGATTTATAGCGAGGATCTAGAAGAGTCGCAATTGACAATTCTGGCAAATTTGTAATATTAGCGAATCTTTTAATTAATGATTCACGAAGTCGTAGCTTTAATAAACTTATCTCCTCAGAGTCCTGCTCTTTCGCAGAAACTTTACCATTTAGCATTTTTATTAGTGGGATAACCAATGATACACAAGCAGAATCGGCTGAAAGATCTAGCGTCGCTTGGTAAAAACAAGTTAAAACTGAAATTAAATTGTTGATCAATTCCCATTCTGTTGAACTGCGAACTTCAATACCACCACCTTCAGCCATATACAAATGTATTGCAACTTTCTGTTCGAATAGCCGCTCCAACATTAGGTAAGTGCTATTCCATATTGTTGCCACATCCTGAATTAACATATGCTGTGACAAATTGCAAGTTTTTTGAAACTGCCTCAGGTACCTGCACGCTTGTTCACTCCTTTTAAAATGTCCCACAATTTTACGACATTTTTTAATTGTGTTTTCAATTAATTCCTGTTTTAATAAAGAATCATGAATTACAAGTTGTAATGAGTGAACCACACATCTTAGATAAGTAAATTGTGTAATACGAATAGCCGCGACCATATTTGCTGCGTTATCAGTTACAGCTATATAAATTTTGTTTTCTATTTTAAAATTTTTAATTATTTCATTAAGTTTACTTGCAATAAACATACTAGTGTGGTCATCATTAAGCACACTAGCGCCTAATATAACTTTAAGACGTTTTGAACCATGAACAAAGTGAGATGTAAAACTCAAAAGAGAACAGGTTTTAGCAGAATTGCTCCAAATATCTGACGTAAAGCTTATCCATTCGGCTTTAGAAACTAAATATGATTTTTTTTTCAAACTCTGTCATAGGTAGCTGGCATTAAACTAGTTCTAAAAAACTTTTCCGTTTTTTTTTCTGTATTTGGAAGTAACATTAGAATCTCCAAAATTTAAACGCTGAAAAGCTTCTCCTTCAACGTTAGAGTATGGTAACATGTCGACAATAATAAGGTCCATGATACCCTTATCAATCCTAGATGATATCGGATGATCATCAGGCCATAGAGCAGGTGACTTAAGTTCCATTATTTGATGTAGGTTGGGCTGAAATGTCCTGGAAACTGGTTGTGTAACATCATGTGAAGTTTTCATATGTTCCAATTTTCGAACTTTTATTCCCATTTCAATGTCACAAAATGATTTCCATTCTTCTGTATGGATTTTTTGTAGATGATTTTTAATGTTTGTAATAGTTTGTTTTTTAGGTGTTAAACTGCCAAGCGATAATGACTTTGAACATAGTTTGCATGCAGCTTTGTTGCCACTTTTTTCAAAATAATCCCAAATTGGATTTTTTATTGACATTATCTAAAAACGTTTGAATTTACTAAAATTATATTAAAATAAAAATTACAGACTTACCAAAAGTTATTTTTACAACACTAGAATAAAAACCTGAACTGATTTTGCAACGTAAATTATAATATATATATTTCACGGGTAAATAAGTACTATTAGCAAAGCTGCACCCACGAGAGAATAAACTTAAACTGTTGTAAAATATTTAATATTTGCATTCATAGTCGATGGTCGATGTTTTGCCATTTAGGTATCTATTCAAAACATCAGTAATCGTGAGTTTTAACAAATACACTAAAATTATTATCATAATTTTACTACGAGAAAAATATTCAAATGAAGATCTTTAAGACATCTTGGCCTATTGTTAAAATTTATATCCTACCTACTATTAACTGACCTGAAAGTTTGTAAAACGTTTTAGTTGAGGGTAGAAAATAGTGTGTAAATATTATTCAAATTATCAAAGACTCGCCGAAGCGTATTATTCAGAGATTATTTCATTTCTATAGTCACCTTCGGCAAAACCTTCGGCTTTGTTTTGGCCGAAGCCGAATTTTGGCCGAAGGTTTAAATATTGGCCGAAGCCGATGCCGAAGCCGATTAATCGGTCGGTCTCTAGATAATTCTATTCATACCTCACGCAATAAACTTTTGAAACACACTTATAATCGGTTACCTGCTACAACAATACCAAGAATATTAGGTAGTATCTATAGGCACTATCGGTAATATTGAAGACTAAAATATTGAAATAAAATGATCATTGAAAAATCCAGTTCCTTAGTCTTATCATTATCTACGGTTAGATAAATGTTATTTAAAATCCGCAATTCGAAATAAATTAATGTTTATGCATTTTGTGCAATTTTTTGTATAAATATGCAAAATCCCCAGAATATTTGCCCAAGTCTAATCATCAGCATCCAAGAAACTAGCCTGACTGAAATGCCAATGAATCCAAAGAATTGGTAAACAATAAATACAACAGTTAGTTGCAAATAAAACAGTCAACCCGTTTACAATACAAAAAGGAAAAATAACAAAAGGTGCTGAATACTTCCACATAACCTAATCTTTAAGTAAGTGTCAAACAATCTTGTATAAGCGTATATCATTTCTGAATATATCGTGAGAACCGCCAAATATTAAGTATTAATCA